TGTGTGTGTGTGTGTGTGTGTGTGTGTGTGTGTGTGTGTGTGTGTGTGTATGCTGTGATCAAAGACATTTAGGTCTGAACCACTGCCTTGACAAGTCACCTCTTCTTAGCATCTTCCAACTAAACTTTTTGCACTCCCCAGCCCTCCCCTGCTACCAAGCTCCCTTCCAAAATTCAAAGCAACTTAATGCCTTCAAAACAACCGCCCCCAAAACTACAGAGGAAGTCACTTACGAAAGCTGTAAGCTGTTAGTGACACCCTGCTTTATTTTCCTTCAGACCGTGCATTGCTAACTGACATTAAATTACACATTAACTGCTGATTTGTTTATTGTGTGCCTACTGAGCTATAAAGGAGTCCTGGTGGTGCAGTAGTTTAAGTGCTCAGCTGTTAACCAAACAGTTGGCAGTTTGAACCCACCAGCTGCTCCACGGGAGAAAGATGTGGCTATCTGTGGGGTAGTTTGTTCTACTGTGTCCTGTAGAGTCACTATGAGTCGGAATTGACTTGACAGCAGTGGGTTTTGTTTTTGTTTTTGACCGAACTGTAAACTCCTTAAAGGCAGTACTTGGTCAGTTTTGCAGCCAGCTGTATCCCCACTGCCTAGAAATGTACCTGGCTATAGTTAGTTGTGTGTCACTAGGACAAGAAGGGTGTGAACAAATGACTTACAACCTAAATAGCTTCTTATTGGTAAGAAATGAGTATTTCTGGAAACAGTGGGCTGGAAATGGTCCCTTCTTGTAGATTTTTTTCAAGAGGCTGAAACATATCTCTGCCACTACTTGGAGTAACTGCATAAAATTGACTTACACAAAAACCAGAAAACAACTGAGGCCCAGATGAAGTCAACCCATTGCCATTGGGTCGTTTCTGACCACAGTGATGAAGTCAAGGCAGGTGTAATCTGCTTTGTACTATGTGGTATGTGTTGTGTAGGCAGATGCTTCTCTGTTCTCTGCCCACTTCACCTACCTCACTTTAACTCCCTCCTCACAATAATGAGAGTGCAGGTGGTGAAAGAGTACCAGGTGAATTGCCTGGTGCATGGAATGGTCTCTAAGCAAAATATGAAGAGCAGAGAGCAGTGGTTTTTGTCCTTAATGAAGGGTGGTTCCTCTGAATCTCCCTAATCTCTATGCCTCAACTGAGGGCCTGGAAGATGCAGCCCAGCTTGTCCTTGCAGGAACTGGAAACCAGCATATTGCCTTTTCCCAAGCACACACTTTGATTCCAGGGTTCCTGTGGTTTCTGTGCCCAGTGCATCTGTCAGGTTTTACATGAAAAGGAGTGATTTTTCTATAGTTACCAAGTTAGGTAGCTCTGATGCCAACCTGTGAAGCCAGCCTAGGTCTGGCACCTCTCCTTCTCAGCAGCCAGCACTTACTGAGCATGTCTGCCAGGCACTGTGCTAAGCACAAGGCAGGATGACATGCCCAGCAACTACGTTCTTCACACATTACACCATGTCAGGGACCTAGGTGCACCTACTAGCGTGGACTCGCATCACGTTAATGACAAGGACTAAGATTACCAATGTCTCTTGCACACAGCTGCAGTCATGGTCCCATCCCTGCTTTTTAAAATATTCTTTCTTTATGGGCTGATAAAGCAATGTAGATAAGAGAGGTCAGCTGAACATAAAACCTAAGTGAAGATAAACAATGTGGGAGTGTTTTTAAAAACTACAACAGAATACAGCCAGTTTCCAAGCTTGCTTAATAGGGATCCTGAATTGACACGGACAAATAGTGTTACTCAATGGTGAGACAAAAGAGTAGGAATACTGGCTGACAAGTCTGAGTTCTGGTCTTCTTGGCTCTGCCACCCATTCATTGGGTAAGCCTCCTACAGCCTTGGCTTCCACAAACCTAAAAAAGGGAAACAATGTCATCCACCTCTTAGTGTCAGTATTGGGTAAGGATTAAATAGTGGACAAGAGCCTCTGAGGAAACTCTGATCAAGGAGGGCGGAGACTATGTAAAAATGCAAGCTACCGATCATATCATTACAGAGACAAATCGGCTAAAGAAAATGGAGGAATGTGGAAAAGAAGTCCACACTTGAGCACAGACGAAAGATTAACAAACTGTAGCACTTAAGCCTGTGAGAGCTCCAAATCGTTGTCCCAAAAGCAACCTCAAAGATGAGGTCAGCCCTCCAAGATGGGCCACTCTGACAGAAGCAAATCTGCCAGATTTATCATGTCTCGTGGCCCACCAGTCCTGGAACAGAAGTTTAAAGGTGAAGTAAGTTTTTCTCTCTCTTTTTAAAATTCTTTTTAGAGTTAATCACAACAAAAACAAATCTCTGAGCAGAGATCGTAAGAGGAATGTAATACGTTCATGACATTTGGGCTGACAAGACTTAAGTGTCAGCTGCTGTTGCACTGGAAGTAAAGGAAGGAGCTGCTGGGCCTAGAAGGCTGAGGAGAGCATGAGGAAGTTTCTGGCTAGTCACTGAAGATGGAGGGCCACCAGTGAGATGCTGTGAAAGTCCCTTAGCCTTGGCTTGCTAGTCTTTTAATTGGGAATGGCAGAAGGGTGTGAACCACTCTGTGCAGTTTCTGAGAATAAATCCTTTGCTGCTGAAGGAAGATTATCTTTAAAAGTAATATCAAGTCATTTATTATTAAGATAGTTGTACACTCTTAAAGAAGCCCTGGTGGCACAGTGGTTAAAGTGCTCAGCTGCTAACCTGAAGGTCAGAGGTTTGAACCCATCAGCTGTTCCTCAGGAGAAAGACGTGACAGTCTACTTCCAAAAAGATTACAGCCTTGGATGCCCTATGGGGCACTTCTACTTCGTCCTATAGGGTTGCTATGAGTCAGAATCAATTCAACGGCAGTCGGTTTAGTTTAGTTTGGTTTTCGTTATACACTCATATTATTAAAAGAAAATACCACTGTGTTTGGGGTTGCATATTATCCTTGAAGCTTTCATATAACTGGCTCTATGGGGCAAACAGAGACTTTTCACATAAGGCTAAGAACAACTTTGTCGAGTGATTTGGAGTTCCACTTGCTTCCACAGACAGCGTGCCCCATAAGATTATTCTTACAGTCCCATAAAATTCGTTAAGCTGAGCAAAGAATCACAGGCTAAGTTAAGATTCTCTGGCCAAATTTCTCCACTCTACTGAATGGTTCTCCCTCCTCAGAAGTGATGGGAAGAAGAATAAAACTCTATTTGTCCTTCTGCTTGGATAACACAAGTAAATTCTGAAAACGTTAGACATCCCTCAGTATAAGAAGGGGTTATACTCTCCTAAGAAACAGTTCTCACCTCTCAATCAAAATATACCAAATTCAAGCCTATGTGGGGGATACCAAACCCCCCAAAAACCAAACCCGTTGCCGTCAAGTTGATTCCAACTCGTAACGATCCTATAGGACAGAGTAGAACTGCCCCACAGGGTTTCCAAGGAGCGGCTGGTGGATTAGATCTGCCGAGCTCTTAAGCACTGCACCACCAGGGCTCCATGTGGGGGATACAGAGGTATCAAATCCTTTAGTGAGCTTACAGGTGGATTCGAGAGTAAGACTGATATACAGAAAAAAAAATTAGAAAGTGGTACAAAACAATATAGAGTATTTGTGTCATAAAACTGTAAGGGCTGTGGGGGTACAGAGAAAAGGGAAATCACCAGGGTTAGACACAGTAACGAACATTCACGGAAAAGATGGGAACTGAAACGTAAATAGGGTGCTGTAGAAAGGAACATCACTTGGGGTAAAAGAGAACAAAGACTTGAACACTCAAGCTCTAATTTTTAAATCCATTATTTGTCCATCAGAACTCCCTGGACTTACTTCCACAGAATGGAAGTCATCTTCAGTGACTTCAGTCCTCCGGTAGAGATTAAATGTGATGATAAAGCACCTGGCACAGTTCCAGACCCATAGCACTCAAAAACTGGTCCTATTACTCTTCTAGTCATGCCAGTCAGCCCACAAGGATGGCGCTCCCTTGTCATCTGGTGCTCTGAGGCACAGGGACTTGCCTCAGGGCTAGGGAGTAGGTGTTCTGTTGGACACATAGCCCTGAAGAGCTCTCCTTCTCTTCACCCAACCATAAAGTGAAGTAAAGGATTAAACTTGTTGGAGAAAATGCCACATCTCTAGTGCCCAACCTCAGGCACGCTGAAAAGATAGGTTATCTTTTATCCTGATTCCCCTGCTGAAGGGACTCCCTCCTGTTAGAAACCCACATGAGCTCCCCTAAAGATGTCTTTCTTAGTCACCTGAAGTAAGAAACAACTTAATGAGCAGTTAAAGGACCAAGGAGAGCAGGTGACTGCAAAGGGCCCTTGGCCTGGGATCTCCCAGTTTTACCTTGCAGGTCCTACCACAGCTCAGAGGCAGACACGTGAAAGTGGTAAAAGTCTTACAACTTTGGACTAAATGGTGTAGATCAGATCCTAGCCACAGACAATAAAGATTCCCTTTGGAAAACAGTCTCTTCAGACCTTAGTTCTTGCTTGAAAATACTTCTCCCTAGGTGTTAATTTTTCAGTTTAATTGTACTTTCAATTTAGCATAACATTGTGTCAGAACACTACAAAGATTTACTTCTTTACTTTTACAGCACATTTATAGACTTGCACTACAACAAATGCTTGACATATAAAGAACCAAAAATAAATCTGAATCCATGAAATTCCAATTAAGTTTTACCATATAGTTATGAACCACTGAGACTTGACAAGTCATAAAGTCTCTTCTGATGGAATGAAACATACATTTTTGACATGTGAATTTGTACACCCTGTTATAGAGGAATGGAGAGAGGAAGGGAGACTGTTTTAAAGGTTAATGGGGGGTATTATTTTGTGGAACTGACATTTGAGGATCATCAAAGGCTTTCTAAACTTTAGAGATAAAATTGTATTGTTTCCCCTGTGTTACAGCTGAGGTGACAGGCAGAGGAGGCAAGGTCACAGAGTAAATCAGTAGCAGATTTTGGTCCAATACTCCGTCTGTGGCTTTTCATTTGTTTGAGAATTGGGGTTTTGCTGTTTTCTTTGTTTTTAGCTGTAAATGGGTGCACTTCAAACATGCTTTAAAAGTGCCTTTTTCAAAAACACTTTTTTCAGTTACTGAAAACCTGAAATCATTTGCCCTCTCTTAAAATTCAAATCATAAAGTTAAGATATGGTCAGAACAAAAATGGATGAGTATTCAAATAGCACATGGTACACTATAGCCTTTTCTTAAACTCTGTCATAAACAGAACATTTCTCACAGAGATAAAAATAATTAAATGGGTGAAACTTCTGCTCAGGGACAATACCAGCAGCAGACCCAGGGCCAAGGAAGTGAGGTTTAAGTCACTGCTCTCACCTCTAGCAGACCTGTTGCTGACCACTGTGCAAGTCGAAATTCTTGTTGGAAATGCACCTCACCATACAAGCTTAACATTCTCTAAAACATACTCATCTTGAAAGAACCCAATGTAGAGGAGAGGAAATAGGATCAAACTCTGTGTCCGTGCATTCTGTCTTTTCAATGCTCAGAAGTGGCAGAAAAGGAAAATGTAACCCAAGTGCTCTCTGGACTGTCAGTCAAGGAAAGATTAAACAAGGTTCAGATGACCAAGGCAATTTTAATGTGAAACACAGACCACACCAAAAAAAAAAAAAAGGTCATTTACATTCCAAAAGATTCTATTAAAACTTGTCCACCTGTCTGTAATTAAACTTTACATATGGCCCAAACTCATAGCTCTCCAAAACATTACAGAGAAGACAAAAACCAATAAGTAACTAAGTTAAGGAGGGAAGTGTGAAGAGGATGCTCATTGATCTAACTGGCAGAATGCCACGCCAAATATTAACCTTCATCCTCCAACTGCCCTAACCTCTGCTGTTAGACGTAGGCATCCAAATTTCCTATCCCTTTTTCCCCTTGTCTTCTGATTTACTAAGCTAACAGAGAGATACGAACAAAAGAAGTCCTCTAAGCATCACAGTGTTTCACGTTTTATACCTTTCGGGCTCCTGTCTGCCCTGTTTCTCATGGCAAACCAAATGACTTCAGCAGTCACAACAGAACACAAGCTTCTGTTGTTGTGGTTTCTACATTTCTAAAGTTTGAATTTCCCACTAACAAGTTAGGAAATGGTTGGTTTCCCAAGCATACCAGGTTAGCCGCTGCCTCTGTGTAGGCAGCCAGACTACGAGGAGGTGAAAACCAGTTAACTCATCCACTCCAGCACAGGACTGGTCTCTGCCTTGGCCTTTTAGGTTCAATCTGACAAAATGATCACCAGTGAATTAATATATGAAAATCAGATAAAGGAGGAATGCCTTTTTAAAAAGAGTTACAGAAAGAGAGGTGTTAAAAAAAATTTTTTTTTTCTTTTTGGCTAAGAAAGATCTAGGAAAGGATACACTCTTTATAATTTTTTAAAAGATGAGAATAAAAGAAAGTAACCTACCAAAGAGTAAGCGTTAAAAGATACTAACCCTCCAAAACACCTATTTGCAATATATGAATGAAAATAACTTGTGACCTGGGGAGAGAAAAGGGACAAATAGGGATTAAAAATAAAAATTCTGCAGCTCCATTAGAATGCTTTTCTAAAGAATCCATTTCTGCATTCCTCAAGCTACAAAAGGAACACCTAAAAAGACTTCGAGCAATAAAAGAAATATACAAAAATATACTTAGTAAGATAAAACACATACATACATACTTCTAAGAGTATACAGTATAATGCCCTTGAAGTCTGCCTGAGAAAAGGCTGCCTGTTAAAAATATCTTCCGAGAACTTTAAGTTCCTTGAAACGTTCTGCGGAAATGGCATTGATGACAAATTCACCTCCTCTGGGGAACATGAGATGTTATTACTGGCAAAGCTACAATTTTTAAACCATCCAAAAATAATTATGAATTTATGCCAAATGACTAAACTTGCTATATTATTACATTAAGAGACTATTTGCTAATGTCTCATGATCAAGGCTGAAGTAGCTGTGAATCTACAGAAAATACTGTGGCAAAATAGTTGACGGCTAGTGGTAGTGATTTTCTGTGCCTTTGACAGGCAGAATAGTACAGCACACAAATTCACAGGAGAGGATGGTGCATAAGGTATCTGAGACGGGAGGTGTGTATGGATGTCATGGCGATGAGAAACAGAATTTGGAGTAAAAACTATATTGACATTCTGATTCAGCCAATTACTAGAGGGACCTCTGGCAAATTATTTAACTTCTCTGATCCTCAGTTGATTATTTGTTAA